AAGAGTGGGCTGATAAAGAGTAGGCTGATAAAGAGTAGGCTGATAAAGAGTGGGCTGATAAAGAGTGGGCTGATAAAGAGTAGGCTGATAAAGAGTGGGCTGATAAAGAGTAGGCTGATAAAGAGTGGGCTGATAAAGAGTAGGCTGATAAAGAGTGGGCTGATAAAGAGTAGGCTGATAAAGAGTAGGCTGATAAAGAGTAGGCTGATAAAGAGTAGGCTGATAAAGAGTAGGCTGATAAAGAGTAGGCCTCTGATTGCACACAGATTTATTCATGCCTATTCTCACAGTGCGCATAACTTATAACATTACTTAGAACAAAGGGTAGGAAATAAATATTGCACATAACCAAAGTCTAAAATAATCACACTTTAGCTTAGCAGTTATATATACTGAGTTGATGTAAACTATCACAAAAAAAAAAAGAGGTGTTAAGTCATGAAAGTATCTTCTTACAGTTAAAACAAAACTTCTGCTAAATTTTAACCCACGAACTGTGGTTGGCCTTTTTAATCGGCTGATTTCCTCTTCCTGTACTGTGTTGGCCAATAAAAATTGCATTGAAAGAATAAGTTCCAGTCCAATATTTTACACTAAATAAAACTACTTCCTTTTAATAATAAATACAATTCTGTTTTTCACTCTTGTGTCCTTTTTTTTTAAATTTTGAGATATTTTTTACTTTACATGATCTTTATTTCTTTATATAAGCAAATTGGTGTAAGTAGATTTTCTTGAAATGGACGGGGCCATAGCTGGACCATCTGGCTACTTACAAAATAAATCAGTCAAGATTTTTTTTGATAATTCTTTTTTAAACTTTTTAGTTAATGACTTAAGTGATTTGGAAGCTGATCTACCACACACAAAGACAATGATAATTCAGAGTATTTTTCTAATGGGTCAGAAATTGAAAGTTCTGATGATTCAGACCTAGGCTTAAAACAAGTAGGACTCATTCAAAACTATGTTGCAGATGATTTTGTACCAACAAAAAAAACTTTTATTTTGTACTTTATGGTTTCTTATATTTCATTTAACAAATTAAAGATTCACATAGCAGCTTTTTAAATTTCTTGCTATTTAGTAATGTTTATATTGTTTATGTCGTTCTTGGTTGCTTGAATGTAATTCTAGGTATCAGTAGAATTTTTTAATTCTATTAATAACTAAAACATATACAAATAATACATTTTCTGAAAGATAAATAAAGCTGCTATCATATTATATAAACATTATATTAATATTGCTATCATATTATATAAACATTATATTAATATTGCTATCATATTATATAAACATTATTTTAATACGCCTTTTAAAAATTGCAGTTTGGGGTACTTGAAAATAAAATGTTTCATTATTTTCTTTATTTTTGGCCACTCCAAGGTGAAGGTAATGCTCACATAGTATAAAATAGCATTAACAAAATAGCCAATAGGATTTCCCACTCACTCTAATTTCAACAAATAGATACTTTATGGGTCTAGCTATAGAATTAACATGTGAAAGATCACTTTTTCCAAAGGCACCCAAAAGCTCTAAATTGCCTGCACAGTACAGAACAGTAACCAACACAGTTCCTGGGTTCAAAACATCTAGATTTTCATTTAAATTTTGTTGCATGAACAGTTAAAAATTTACGGGAATCAATAACCCTGTTGAATTCAAATGTAACTGATCATTTACAACTTAGAAAACAACTACCAGCTACAAAAAGATGAGATGATAAAGGTGTGAGTCTATAAGGCTGTTTCCTGAAATGTTCAACTGTTTGGTGTGAGTCTATAGGCTGTTTCCTGAAATGTTCAACTGTTTGGTGTGAGTCTACAAGGCTATTTCCTGAAATGTCCAACTGTTTGGTGTGAGTCTACAAGGCTATTTCCTGAAATGTTAAAATGTTTGCATCCTGGGAGGTGAAGACTCTCAAGAGATTGAATGTGTCAAACACTGAAAGAGTTTTTTTAATGAATTAAATTACTCTCTTGAACATAGTATTGCTGCGAGCAGATTCAAATCTTAACATTGCAGAAAATTGGAATGCAGTCCAGACTGACTTCCAAAAACCTCTAAATCAGTTGTGAGTAGTGAGATCATCAGCCCGGTACCAGGTAATATAGCATGCCTCAATAAGGAGAGTCAGTTTCAGCTGTGATATTTGGGTGGAGTTCATTAAATGTGTACCAAATATGGGAGGTCAATTTTTAGGTTAAGAAGTTAGGATGGCCGGCAAAGGATGTATAAATATAATAATTTAGACATCAATATGGATAGTGTATCCATGCTTGACATCATTGCCTACAAGATGGGACAGGCTGACGATATCTAAGCCACGACCAAAAAATTACCAACACCCTCATATCACTCCAGATTGTGTATTTTTAAATAAGACAATACAGCAATTTTAAAATGGCAATAATCTTAAGATCTGTCATTAACCATGTTAAAACACTATGGTCACTAAGGATTGGTCAAGTCCAATGTTAAGACCTGTAGAGAAGTCTCTGGTAATGTGGATAGATCTCAGTGTCTGGAATGTGAAGGTAAAACTCTATAGCCACCAGGCACTCAATCTCATACTGTAAAAGTTCTTTTCTGTTGACTCGGAAATCATCAACCACTTGCTGTTAGGAAAGGAAATCAAAAATATTTTTTTTTAAAATATGTGAAGGATGTTGCAGTTTAACATAAGATAAGATAATATCTGATAATATAATTTAGGGCTGAAACCTTTAAATTTTTTATTTTTTTTTTAAAAATGGATAAGTGTTTTCTTATATTATACAAGCATTTTCAACCGATTCAATGCATAACACAGGCAGTAACCATTCGGGTTAAGTTAACAATTTAAAATCAGTACATTATTAACGTGAGACTTTTTACAAGTACTTTTTAACCAAAAAAAAAAAAAACCAGCCAATCCTTATTTTTTTTTTAAAAATGGATAAATGTTTTCTTATATTATACAAGCATTTTCAAACGATTCAATGCATAACACAGGCAGTAACCATTCGGGTTAAGTTAACAATTTAAAATCAGTACATTATTAACGTGAGACTTTTTACAAGTACTTTTTAACCAAAAAAAAAAAAAACCAGCCAATCCTTTATTGTGACACATCACTTCTAAAATTCCACTATTAAATTTAAAAGAAATTATTTGAGAATGTGAAAAGTTGTGCCGAAATTCTGATGTATTTTTACATCTTAAAGGAAAAGACACAAATTCTTAACCTTGGGGAGTTAAATAAACTAATCAAGAAGGGTAGTAACATCACACAAACTAAATGTCTTTAAATTGAGCAGCGATTTGAAGAAAAATGTTGTTGTAAAACTAAAAAGATTTTGGATGATACATCCCACCCCCTTTGACCCTTTTGTTACTGATGACATAGAGCACGAAATCACGATCACCCACTTTCAATTACCAAGGACGTCACATTGTCGCCATAACAAAGAGGCAAAGAACTTTTCTGAAATACCAAGGGCATCACATCGACGTCATATTTCAATGCTATATATTTCTTTATTCGTTAATCTATAGAGAAGTTAACAAGCGACTCGGATAGAAAAATGATGAAAGTTTCTTCTTTTGTTTAGTTTTTATTGCTGAGTCTGCAAAAATCAATGCCCAAAAACCAGCAGTAATAAAAGGGTTAACACAGATGGCTAAGATCAGCTCAACGAGGGTGAATTCTTTCCCTTAAAATTAGGACCAAAAGATATACAAAAATTCTGTTCCCCAATCTGTACGAATTTACCAGCATGCTCCCCCCCCCCCCCCCCCCCCCTACACAGATGGCTAAGATCAGCTCAACGAGGGTGAATTCTTTCCCTTAAAATTAGGACCAAAAGATATACAAAAATTCTGTTCCCCAATCTGTACGAATTTACCAGCATGCTCCCCCCCCCCCCCATCCCACGCATTTACCAAATCTGATTGGTCACTGAGTAACTCATTATTATCACTATTCCAAACCTCTTCTTACTTAAAAAGGTTCATTGACTTCGTTGTCTAGGGGTTTAATTATATACACTTCACAACTATAATTCTTATATTAAATATCTTTATTAACGAACTAATTCTTCAACTTCCATTACTGTACTCAAAGAACAACACTCTACCATCAAACTACATCATATCCCTTTTCACACAATACGTCACAAGATACTAAGAATAATAGATAAAACAACACACATAATCTCACACCGACACGCAATCACACTATACATTCAAGTCCCTAACAATCACTAAAGGAATTCATTGATGGCTGATTCCTACACTAGATAAATACTTTAGATGTCTTGTGTTTAAATTGTTACAAATGTACTTTGTTGTCACAATGTCATAAAAAAAACATTTCCATCTATTTGGATCAATAAAGAATTTATTCTAGTCTTAAAGGAAATGCATGTAAAACAAAATTTAAATTAACCATTGAAATATTAGACTTTTATAAAGTACAAAGTGCCCAATCTGAACATCTTTTATAACCCTGCTTTTAAGGTCAGAGTTCAAAATTTGTGATGTAAATTTGTTATTTATCACTGACACAGAAAAAGTACAGTTTCTGGTGCTTTTAATATATTATTTAAATTTAATTGTTAAACAGTGAGCCAAAGGTACACTGAAGTCAAAAAGTAGTTCTTTTCAGTCCAAACAAAACTTAAAAATTCTCTCAAAGGACAGGAGGTCAATAGCTTGTGTACAAAAATATGAAATAATCGAATTTTTAAAGGCCCTATGTAATCTTTAATTTAAAAGGTGTAGTAGCTACAATTAACCAATTTTTTAAACCATTCAAATGTTTTTGATTTGTTTTACATTAAAATTTCATTTAAATTTTAAAAGTATATATTGTCCTTCTGGCCTGGTCTGGATTTAATCAAATCTTTTGGACTGTTCTTTTCAGTTTTATCAATAATGTTTAGAAGCATAAACCAGAATAACAAAGAAAATAAAGATATTCTATAAAAATTCAGGCTTTGTGATTTTAAAAAATTTAATTTTCACAGACAAATGACTTCTTAATAAAATGTGAATAAAATTAATAAATTATAAAATTACTTACTTCGATAAGTTTTGTAAGTGTTGGTCCCTTGACATCATTGAGTTTGCAAGACAAGAGAAGACAAGCACCTGCACACAGCTTACGATTCTGTTTGGTTATCAGTTGCTGTAAGAAAGGACACTTTAAAGTGTGGTGAAAGAAAATATTCTTTAAGCTAAGGGATTGCTTTTTATATAAAATGAAACGTTATATTTGGACAGTTCTGCTGGATAGTGGTATTTTGCCTCTAATAGAGATACCATTTCTACTTTTTTTTAAAAAAAGGTTTTTTTTATGTGCAGGGCAAATAATTTATTTGGTGGGCTGCATGATAATTTGATATGAATCTAGAGTTCTAGTTTCACATATGTTATTGAAGACGACCTTAAAAAATTCACTTGAGTAAAAAAATAATCAATGAAACAAATTTTTAATTTGCTGTGATGAGTACTTGAGAGTGGTATAGCCTGTGATTTTAAATTTCCAGGGGCTTTTAACTCTTTACATTCCTTGAATTTTGCATGTTTTTCATGAGATTTCTAGTGACCTTTTAAAAAGGAGTCAATAACTTTTAGAATCCTTGTCCAAAATGCATTATGTTTTATATATTATTGTGGGGAAATGCATGAGGTTTCTAAAAATATTTGTTTTCAAACAAATAGTTTCAATACTTAGAAGTTGTGAAGAAATAATGCAATTTGTTTTTAATGAAAATGTGTAAAAAAAAAAATTGGTGATCACATGCAAAGAATGAAAAAAACAAACCACATGAAATTATTTAATAAAATCTGTTTATTTAGAAAGCAAATTCATTTTCTTATATCATATGCATGATTTAGAACATTTCACAACAATTTTACCAAAATATAAATTAATTTGTAAAATGTGTCAAAAAGGGGAAATAATTTTTAAAAAATAAAAATCACCCCACCCCTCCAAGTATTCACAAAAATTACAGGTTATTATTATTTTACCTTTTAAAAATTACTTCAAGATTTTTAAAAATAATAGAGATTCTAAACTTCATTGTACTGTTAGTCAGAAAATTTTTGTTTTTTTAACAAAGATAAATTTACCATGCGCTATATTTGATTTATAATTTTATTTTCTTAGCATTCCTAATTTATAGCACTAGCACACTGACAATTGCTTTTAAAATCTATGCAATCAGGAATTATTGCATTTAGATTGTATTTGGTGTTATTTACATTTGCAGCACTTGGAACTGCATCACTTTTAGTAAATCATCAAATGCTAAAATAATTTCCTCGGTGAAGTCAGTTAGAATAAAATGTCAGGTAGCTTCAGTTCATCTATATCATAGTTTTCTTTTGAACAATCCTGAAGAGATTATAGCTGGCATTATCAACAAAATGGAAAAAGTGATTAGTCCACTGCTGTTCTCTTTACTTACAATGATATATTCATTAAACTGGTCAACACCACACAGGTCACAGGAATGTATAGTATGATTTCAAAATCTGATTTGACAATATTTGGTTTTCTCCCCAATAATTGCCTAGAAAGACACAAATCAGTTTTGGTTTTGTTCACAAAAGAAAATCCATTTGCTGTCGTATTATTTGAAATAAGTGAGGCTTGTCTAATTTTCTCTCCACTAAACATAGTATAAATTATATTATCTCTTATCCATCACATCATATCACATTGCTTTGGTTTTTATCTTTATTTACTTCTGATAAAGTCTGACAAGTTCACTTTGCACAGTTTGTCCTCATTGTCTGTTTCAACTTTGAAGAATGTCTTATTTGAAAAAATCTGTTTTTGGGAATAGAGCATGAGCCCACAATTGATGGTATTTGGTAGTAGTGAAACATTGTTGCGGTTGACGAGTATTTTTGTACACTGAGGACTTGTACAGTTGACATGCACATTAGTAGTCCTAGAAATGTGTAAAAGTGGTATGTTGTTGAGATATATACAAACCACAGTTGATGGAAGGTTTAGAAGGTCCCATGGTAGGTGAATAGGTTTATTTTACAAATGTTTCAACCATATTCAGCGTGAAACATATCTTGAAAATCCTTAGACAGATTGTTGTCATGTTATGATGACATTTCTTCCCACACGTCAGCGTGGCTTTCTGGCTGGGGGAAACTTAGGAGTGGGAACCAGTGGGTCATCATCTCCAAGCCTAGCCTGTGAATGTAAAAGAAGAACTAATATTATAGACCTATATGATGCAACTATTCGGGATGCAATGAATATGAAATATATACTTACTTACATTTCCAGTTTTTAATATTTCTGTCTAAAAACCGTTATTACAAAAAAAATTAGTGTCAGATAATTAATTTTTTTATATCACACATCGATGTCAAATTTCAATGTCTTTAGGATGAAATATATCATAATAATCAGTGCCGATTGCATTGTTAACATTCCTTAGCAACAGTTTCTAAGCATAACGTCTTCTAAAATTATTTATGTAATAAAATATTCGCAAATTATACAATGATTTTATTTGCGTAGATTCATTTTTAAAATGGGTAGTAAATACTTCAATTATGATTAAAAATACAATTTAAAACGATAAAATAAAAATGAAAGTAAAAAATCTTTTAAAAATATAGAATGACGAAACACTCAATTACTAACCTTCTAGTTTTAGTGACTATAATGGGCTTTTAAGGCAGATTCTCATCAAAATCTGAATAAAAGTCACTAGATTCAGGTTCCCAACTATCTTGCCCAGATGTTTCAGATAAAATTTGATCAATATTTTCGTCACTAATTTCATTATTTAAAATTTTGGTCTGCCGAGTCGACTAGCGTCTTGCACAAATTTTCCCAAAATGGCGAGTAACGCTTCGGCATGTCATGTGAACCTCGAACTCGCAAAAAAAATCAATTATTATTTAAAATCTTTAAATATTATTTTTTAATATATTTTTCTTCCAAATGTATAATAAAATAGGTATAGAACACTTTAAAAATAAAAAAAAAAAATTTTATTAGCGAAAATAACCAACGTATATAGTTGTACGCTCTCTATACAAGAGGAATGAAAAGAGTTAAATATAATCATGTAAAATTTCTACATTAAACAAAAAAATTAATCCTGTTCCTGGAAGGTTTTGTGGGCTGTATTAAGTTTTAGCTGGCCACATGTTTGCCACGGGCCGTTTGTTGCCTACCCCTGTGTCTAATGGGTAGTTTGAGTTGAATAAATGCAACAAATATTTGCCTTGCTAATAAAATGTTAGGAAAGTGTTTTGAGATACCTTTATTTATGTTTAATTATAATATTGAAAAATTGTTGAGGACAACAAGAGGAATGGTACAAAGCAATTTACCTTTAAAATAATTTTTTCAAAAAAGACATAAGCTTGAGCAACTGTCCACAGGTCCACAGAACACTGCAGAAAATAGAAAAACAAACTTACATTCAATAAGATTAGTTGAAGAGGCAGCAATAAACAAATGCAGAAAAACTGATCATTGAAAAACTTAGTTAACTAAGTTCATAACTAACTTTTATGTTTACCTAAAAAAATAAAAAATACTCCACTGACTGCTCTGTTATATTTAATGATCTAAATATGTACATTGCTCAGAAAAGACATCCTCTCACTTTGTAAAATAATTTTTAATGAAGGAAAAGAGACATCTTAAATTATATAATCAAGTTACAGAAGCCTGCTTTTATTTTATAAGATACCCAGCTGAAGTGTTGTTAATAACATTAGCTTATTATAAAGTGTTAATAATTAAAGAACTTAGCACTGGAAAAAAAAATTAAATGGGAGAAGGAATGTCGAGTCTTTGATTTGAAACTGAAAATTTTGATTCCACAACCCCCAGTATTCTGAAATAAAAATTGCTTATATTTAAAATAACATGAGACCATTAAATTATTAGGCCTACTGTTGTTACTTTTATCATTCGCTGCAGGTTCCAGTGAACTTACCTTCACATGTGAAATCTGATAAAGCTCTCTTTTTAAACTGAAAGAAATGAAGAACAAACACTCTAAGCCTTTAAATTCACCTTTATTCATTTTACCTTTGTCTAAACATATAAATAAGCTCAATTGAATTTTTCCCCCTTTCCCCTCACTCACAGCCACATTAAAACAACTATACTATTTGGAATTTACCCACTTCATCAAAGTGGCCAATTTACAAACAAAAACAACATGTATAACAATAACTTTTCCATTTTTATGGCTTGAAACAAGCAAAGTTTGAACATGTTCACCAGAACCTAGCCATAACAAAGTTTGCGAAATGAAGGTCAGTTCTGGCATACTGTAATAATGTATTTTTTTATTTTACTCCCAGGACTTAGTCATGTACCGGTACAATTAAGACAGTCAAGCTTAGTTTGAATGAAGAGAGGCAAGATCAGTTCACTATATAAGCATACAGTATTCGCTTATATAATGTGAGCTGGACATTAGGACATAAGCTTACTGCCTTAGCTTAGATAATGTAAGCTGGACATTTGCGTACCTCCTCAGGAAAGATAATGTAAGCTGGAGATTAGGACATTAGCTTACTGTCTTAGCTTAGATCATGTAAGCTGGACATTAGGACACTAGATTACCTCCTTAGCATAGATTATATAAGTGGACTTTAGCTTACCTCCTTAGCTTAGATAATGTTAGCTGGACATTAGGAAAACGAACACGAAACTTTTCATTGAGTTCTTTCTTCAACATAGAAGGTTTGACATAATCAATAATTGAAGTCTGAAATGTTCAAAATATACAGAAAATATTCATTTAACAATTCAAGGAGCTTATACATGAAAAACAGAAAAAAATTGTCAGTTTCATATTAACACTATTTTATTGTTGTTGAGAATATGAAAAAATAAAAATGTTAAATAGTCTCTCACTGAAGTATTTGGTTCCGGGGTATTCTATAGTATGATGGCAAAATTAGCACATTAACTAAAGAGGTCAAAACTATCACGAATGGGTGATACCATTTTAATTCTACTCAATATTGCCCTGTAAAAAGTCTCTGAGCTTTATCAGTGGTGGTTCATTTGACTTGATGGGTGTTGTTTTGTTTTTTTTAAATAGCAGTTTAACATAAAAATGAGGATAAGGCACTGTTTATATGTTAACATTTGATTTCCTGATTTCAGACCAAACTGACCAGGTAATATTTAAATTGTAATCATGTGATGTCCCGACTTACCAGGTAAGATTTAAATGTTAATTCTGTCCTGTAGCTTCCAGACTGAAGTTCAGGGTCATCCAATTTGTTGGCATGATAGGCATCAATGGAATCTTCTTGTACTGAAATTAGTGGTTGTAAGGAAAATGATGATCTCAGACTAACACAGTGTTGACACTTTGAAGTGTAACCAGTACAATCCTGTATAGCCAGGACAATCATGTATTGCCGGTACAATTATGTATAGCTGGTACAATCAAGTAGTGCTGGTACAATCATGCCTCACAACCAGCTTAAGTATAAGAAGAACTTAACAGACAACAGGCTTCCAGTCACATTGATAGTTAAATGATAAGAGTGCTCTTTTTATGAACTCTTAAAAATGAAACAGTATTTTAACTTAAATTATCTTGTGTGAACTCAAGTTTTAAAGAAAATTTAAATATCGAAAGTTTGTTAAATACAATTGATTCTAAACTCTGCCAAATCATAGATAGTAAACGTTATGCTATCAAGAAAAACAAATTTATTTTCTTTCAAGTATATATAACTAATATGTGACTTTCAAATATTTTAACAAATATAAATAATTTTTTAAGTTGTATCAATGTTATTGTGATATATGCATCAAGGTTATTGTGACATATGCATGAAAGAAGATTATGTAATGGAAAAAAATATTGGAAAATTCATTTTTATTTAGTCTCCGGGGTTTGTTAATAGTATCCCACTAAAAGAACCAGAAGAGAAAGCTTTTACAAATCATTGTTATTTTGCATTTTAGTATTGCTGAGGATAAAGAAAGACAATTTGTGATTTTTATTAACTTATGAGTAGCCTAAATTCAGCTTTAATATAACTGTATGAATATAAATATAATATATACAAAATATTCATGTAAAAATATGATTTAGGTTCACACTAACATCAGATCAAGGTGTTTTAAAATAAAAAAGAAAGATTAAAAAAAAAAAAAAGAAGAAGCTGCAGGCTAGCTTAACATTACATCTATTCACATTTCTTCTAATTGCATGTTATCTATCAGCATTTCTTCTACTTAAATTTCATCTATTAACATTTTAATATATACAAAATATTCATGTAAAAATATGATTTAGGTTCACACTAACATCAGATCAAAGTGTTTTAAAATAAAAAAGAAAGATTAAAAAAAAAAAAAGAAGAAGCTGCAGGCTAGCTTAACATTACATCTATTCACATTTCTTCTAATTGCATGTTATCTATCAGCATTTCTTCTACTTAAATTTCATCTATTAACATTTCTTCTATTAAGATTTCATCTACTGACATTTTTATCTATAAACATTTCATCTATAAACATTTCTTCTCTTAATATTTCTTCTTTTAACATTTTATCTATTAACATTTCTTCTTGAAGAATATTTCATCTATTAAGATTTCTTCTTTTAACATTTCATCTATTAACATTTCCTCTATTAAGATTTCATCTATTAACATTTCATGTAATGAAATTTCATCTATAAACATTTCTTATATTAATATTTCAGCTAGTTTAAGAATTTTAAGAAAAACAATTGAATGCCACAAACCTTGCGTGTAATGCTTGAAATAATGTCAACATTTTTTTAGTAACAAATAGCTAACAAACATGAAGTCAGTATCTTAGAATTAGAATACTTGTTAACTCAATGCAAAAAGTGAAATTCTAAATAGTGGCTCATTAGCTGTTCAAACAATAAATTGTGCTTACTGTACCTGTCTCCAGGTGGCAGTGCCACTGCCATTGGTTAATGTGAGGGTGCCACAAGTGTTGGGGCGGGGTGTCATGCGGCATGCCACGTGACCCTTCTTGATCTGCAGGGGTTATGGGACAAGTCTATACACTCGGTTCCCTAAGGCCATGACCTTGGATCGCTATGAGCTTTCAGTAGCATTTTACTTTAATGGTATTAAACTTCTGCCTTGATACATCTTATATATTTAAACACTCTATGATACTCTATGGACCAATGGAAATTACTATGGTTCCAAAGATTTTTGAAGTTTATTTTGCATGCCTGAGTCGTTTCAGTACTAAAACATAACCACATCCAGACTTTTGTTTATCTAACCACTAACAATTTCAACAATATTTTTTCATTTAACAATACTTTCCATGTAAAAAAGGTTTTAACATTCTCTTTTTATGTTAAACTTTATTTGAGAGACTCTATACTTTGCAAGACTAGAGAGAGCTAGCTCTACATGAAACATTAGTGTAAATTTGTATGATGTAAAACTATGTTTTTCTGTTTTGACCACAAGTGTATTTTAGGACGCATTTTCCAGCTTTGAATTATTGCCATCAAGATTTCAAACTTAAAAATTTTGATTTCCTGCTTCTGAGGGACATCATTTCCTAACCAATCAGATAAGCCATCAAGAAAATGTGATGAGTGGTGTTTGCAAAGCTTCAAAACTTTAAATAAGAAATATAAAGAAATACTACATGTAAATAAAAAAAAAAAAAAGTAGTCAAACAAAATTTAAAATGAAGCAGCAATTACATGAGCAGGTGGACATTTTATTATAATATAGGGGAGACTACTACCAGAAGCTCATAAAGATACCAGAAGTTAAAGCCAAAAGGTAAAATAAAATCATTTACATAGGTGTCGTACATGTTAAGCTGGATTAGTCTTTACAGAGTAAATGCATTTTAAAAAAACTAGTGAATGCTCTAACTAGATGCCAAGAGTTACAGAATAAGGATTCATAATTTATCAACTGTGTGCTTTTCAGTTGTGAAAAAAAGCAAATATAAATAATACATAAATTAATGAAAGAAATTCAGTTAATCTTAACTCAGTTTTATTTTTATCCTTTTAAAATTGATAACAACTAAACAAATATTATTAAAAAAATTTTTCCTTGTTGAGAAAATTTGAAAGAATATTTAATAGTTAAAAAAAGAAAGTTTCATTTCAGTTTTTGTGTGCGCTCCTTCTAATGTTACATTATTCATTGATATAGTTGCTAGTGATTCACTGCCAGCACTCTCTCTTACTAATGATTGGTTAAATGCAAGACTTCTACACTACAACTGATACATACTTAATAAGCCTGATGATGATTTAAATATTTCTGATGGCCCTAGCAGAAATAAACATTCATTAGGTCACATTAATGCAGATCTTAGACAAAGCATCTTTCAAACCTTTGCAATCCATTCAATGTTTATAGTTTAGTTCAAATAAATACACCATTATATCATTAACTTTTATGTTATTTCCTATGGTTTGCTATTACAGATTCTTGTTATGAAATAAGTGCTTTAAATAAAATTATTCTCGTCATATAAAGACATAAAGACTGGAAAATTCTGGTATGATGCTACATTTAGAACTGGTGGGTTTGCGGAGTTGAGGTGGGGGTAGAATTAAGCATAAATTAACTTTTTTGACTTGATGTTGGCCCTTAAAGATTTATGTATATTTTTTCTAGGTGTTTAATTGAGGCACTCTAGTTTTATTTTTCAACTGGCTTTAAAATTAAAGTTAATGATTGATTTCTGCAATATTATAATAAAAATATTAAAATACAATTATAATTATCTAGTCTGATTTATTTGAAAATAATAATTAATTTCCATAACTTAAATTTCATTTATCAGACAACACTATTTAGGTTTCAACTAAATTGTGACACAATGGTACATTAGATTAGAGGTCACTGAAATATAATTACATTTTGAGTCATGTTGAAACAAATGACATTGGACAAAATGACATATGTAGTACTACACTGACACCAACTGATAATAGATTTAACATAAACTACCGGAAATCAAATAATAATCAGAGCTGCCAAATAAAAAAAAAAAAAAAGACTAGATGTCTTCCGACTCCAGAAATGATTCAAGCTTTGGAATAGAAAACAATGCATTAAAATAATGGCATTTGACTGGGTAGAGAAGCTATATTTTATGTCAACTTACTGCTGATTATTTGATCTTTGTGCTCAGAGTATGCTCTTTTTACATTTTTCCTATTAGAGGCCACAAGAAAACGACTGTAAGAAACTTCCTGTGGGGAAAAAAATCAGTTGCATGATCCTAGTTGTGTAGCAAATAAACATTTTCTGAAGTTATCAATAGATTATTATCAATAATGATCATTCAATAACAATCTGTATTAAAAGATTAAAGTCTCCTGAAGCGCTCTGTAAAAAATAACAATTTGTCACTTTAAAAACCAATCGATTAAAATTATTAAATTAAAGCTCTTATTAATTGTTATTAAAAAACTAAATATTTTTTACATTATTTAACTTTTGACAAGGTTTTAATATATAATACTATTAAATTAAAATAAAGTGTTAATAAAAATATAACTTTAAATAAATATTTACATTTAAAACTAAAAAAATATGAGAGATATATTGACAAACCCTTAATAAAATTTAAAGCATTTATTTCAACTTAAAACTATTTAAGATTAATTTTGAGAAATACAATAGCAGCAAGTATGACAAAAACTTTTGTATTTATCTCAATTTAATTTCAATAAATAAACAAGTTCCTCAATCGACCTGAAAGCTATACTTGTTTCCATTGCAGACTGTTCATTAGAGAAATTGCACAATTTGGTTAAAATTTCTTTTAGAATTTCAACACAGCAAAATACCTCCTCCTGTTTTGCACCGTGTTGAAGACCTACAAATAACAGGCCCTCTTGTGAAGAGTGTGACCTTGACGCCGAGTGGCCAGACAAATGTCGGACTCGCCCCTCTTCCTCCGGTCTACTTGAATGTGAAAAAATAAATGTAAAATTTCTGCCATTATTCTGTATGGTGCGATAGTTTCAATTAACAATGATCATTTCTTTAAAGGAAGTGAGAAAACTATAAAAATGTAGGGCCAACTATAAATAGAATTAAAACAAAAGTATTGATAAAAATAAACCATTGTTTAGCACATTCACTCCTCTTGTAGTTCATCCCTATAATCTGACTCTCTTCGGCTCCTTCATTCAGAGTTTTAAGTCATCAGACTCTCTGGGCACAAACAGTAATAAAAGAGGTTTCTATGAAAATGTGTTAATTTACCTTGGCAGTACTTGAGAAGTGAAAGACAAAACTGAACATATGGCCAAAGGTATATGATCTCCTGATACAAGGTATACCCTGAAAAGAAAAAAACAAACAAATATTGGTTTGAAATCTATACTTTAATCAAATAAATAAGCATGACAAAATATCATAATGTTCAGGAGTTGTAAACTTAAACAGAATCTGTAATTATTTAAAATAATTTGGTCCTTTAAAAAAAAACTTAATTGAGATAATAGATTTTTTTTTAAAAGCAATGTAACATATGTTGTTACTAATTGTCAAAACATGTTTAAAACCAAAAAAAATTGATTTAAAATAAAGTCTGCTTTATATGTAGTGCTGTTAGTAAAAGACAATTTCATTTTTTTTAAATTGATTTTTTTAACACAAATATTTTTAGAAGATTTTTTCACTGCTGTGTAATCTTATCTTATTTTAAAAGCAACAGTGTTTTATGTATTAATGATAATCGGATAAACAATGATAATTATGTCTATAAAATTTTTTAAAAATCAACCTTTTATCTTTGAGATTAGGCAAAGGTTTGGTATCTCCTGTCAAATTCGTTACGTCACAAACGCTAGACTCTGGTGATCCACCAGAAACAGTGCTTGACCGTCGACTTCGATCACCTAACATTTGGTTATATTTGAAAAAATTTTCAGTTAGGATGGTCAAGTGAAACCTTAAAATTTAATTCAACACTACACACTAAACCACTAAAATAATGTGACTGTTTTGTTTGGTTACCATCATCATCTACTGCATTTATTTTTAAATAATACTTTAATCATTATAAAACTTAATTTTTTATTAACCGAACCATTTCCAAATATGAATATATATAAAAGTAAAATATAACTGAAGTTATCTTAATATGAATATGAAATATATTTATTTAGAATGTGCTCTATTGTCAATAAGTAGCAACTTTCAAATGTCGAAAAAGTTTCATAGCTAGATAAATGTATATCATCCAAGACTATAACAAAGCCCCTAAAAGACTTGTAGAATGTAATGTTCCAATGCCCTTAATTAAACTACAAAACATTTTAGAAGTTCGTTTAAATTACAGGAATAAAGGGAACATATTTAAAAATTAATCAGCTTAAGTGCAAATGAAGTTACATATTTGAAATAGTGAAGCTAATATAATACTTTTAAAGAAAACTAAACAAGTATAAATGTAAATATAAAAAGTATAAAATAAAAAAAATAGGGAATTAAAAAACAGGACAAATTAATCTATTCCATTATTAAGGTTGACAGTGAAGCATTACAGTTATTGAATCTATAGCAATTATACTTTTTGCTTTTTCACAGCTTGTGACAACAGCAATTATGCTAAATTTTTAATTCATCTGACAAAATAAGTACTCATTTGGCAACGGTCCACAAACAAAAATAGAATATAAGTATCTTTTGCTGTCAAATTAAAAAATTTTTAAAAATAATTCAAAAAATAAGCTAATTGAAAACTTGAACGAAATATTTTATGAAAATTTAAATGAAACAAAAATCTTGAAAAGCTTTATGCCAAGCTGGGATATTTAAAATTCACCATGCATTAGATTATTTTTCTTCATATAACAAGCTTGCTACTCTATGAAATGGTAAACTAAGGGTATTTACTTATAAAAGCTAAAGATGTATTATACATGTGTAATGAGCTTTGCCTGGTACCCCTCATGAAACACAACTGAGATTATTAATGTTACTAAAAACTTTAAAAATAAATTTAACATGTATGCACATATTGTTAATTTATTTCTAAAAGTTAAGCAACAATTATTTATATATGAAACATAACAAAATATTAGAGTTCATGTTTGTGTTTCTAAAGTAATATTGGTTTACGTTCATTCAAAAAATATGGATACAGAAAGTAATATTTAGTTAATAATTTCAGCGTTTACATAGATTTACTAATTAGGTATATGTGACCTACAAGTTATAATATTAAGTTGCAAAACGTTGGTATTTATCAGGTAATTGACATTAATCTTGCCACAATATCTAAAGCAGTTTTCCTGCATGCCTTTATATGTGCATGTTAATGCCATACAAACATAAAAGTCAGAATCGAAACAAAAGATCTTTTTTTTTCCTTTAACTTGAGCATGCCATCAAAAGAATAATCAGTTGTTGGTGATGACAACACTGAATGCTTTCCATCAATTGAATTCAACAAAAGAATATAGTCACCCAATCCCAGCCCTTCTCCGAATAATTGTCTCTTAATGGCAAGTGGGAAACGATCAAATGGATCAGAGTGCAAGTGTAAGAGTCGTCTTGCTGGCTTACCGGGTTTGTCACCGCTAGAATAAGATGATGCTCTAAGAAATTGTAAAAAAAAAAAAATTTGGACATTATTAAATTTATAAATCAATACATTTATACAAATACATGTAATTATTTTACTTGATTTCATTTTGTAAATATTAAAACTTAAATTGATTTTAAATAATCAAAACGAAATAAGTAAATAGAATATGCTGAAACAAATCATATAAAATATAGTTTAAAAAAATGATGAACAGAATTATAATGTGCACATTATGTAGAACAGCGGTTCTCAACCTGTGGGTCACGACCCCTTTGAGGGTCAAATGAAACCTTTCCCAGGGGTCGCCCAAGACCATCGGAAAACACATATACTCTACAATTATGATGTAGGAACGAAAATAATTTTGTGGCTGGGGGTCACCACATCATGAGGAACTGCATTTAAGGGTCGCAGCATTGGGAAGGTTGAGGACCACTGATGTAGAGAATGTTGGTAAGTGTAGTTGGTGTGGTTATTTATTTTCCTTCATGAATTGAATCAATTGCAATGTAAACCACCAGAATCTTTGAATAGCTTTCTAAAACTAAATCACATTTTAATCAGTTTAAAAAGAAAGTGAGCACTTTTCAAAAAAATTTATTTTGTCATTTCAAATTGTTACATGTGGTTATTTATATGAGCCAGGAAATATTGCCGCTACTATCATGCCAATATAAGTGATATTGTTCATTGTCCCATAATATAGCCACAAAATGGCAGATGACAAAAAAAATGTGCCTCATGTTTCTCTATTTTCAAGTTGATATAGACTTGTAATCTTACAGTATCCAAAACTATACTGAAAATAAAAGTGTTAGGCAAACTATTGAAAAAGGGCTTCTCTTAAATGTGGCAACCAAACTAAAATTGATTTTACAATATTAAATTCTTTAAAAAAAAATGTATGTTGGCTCTATATTTGAACCATATGTAGCCTTCTATAGCTTTTCATTTGTAGGCTTGATGACTCTTTCAGAGTACTTTCACTTAAAAACCCTTTTAAAAAAACCTTATTAAAAATATCAACTAATTCCTTTCCTCACCTATAAGTTGAAAAAAACTAAACAAAAATGTTTCTTTGCATCAGAATACACATTAATACAGTGTATACTAAGGTGACCAAATCATGAACGGAAAAAAACGGGACACATCGAAGGAGGGTTTTAAGGGATACCCTCAAGCTAAAGAGGTGTCCGGGGACCTCCACCGGAAACTGTTTAATGAAATATTTTAACTATTTTGAGACCTAGAAATTGTCAATTAATTGTCAATTTGTTTTTTTGGTGTGGTGTTGCCGGTGGGGGGGGGGGGGAGAGGAAGGGGGGGGGGGCGAGTAAATCAAATAGTCTTAAAAAAGGGGCCATAAGTTAATTATATATTCATTTAAATGAAGAAAGTTATGAGTTACAAATTCCAAATAAACCTTTCAAGTTACTGCATTTATTTGGAACTTCATACTGTTTCATCTTCCCTCAGATAAATGACATATTAATAAATATCTGACGCCTTTCGTGAATAATTCCTGTTAACTTTTTTTGTACAATTTAGATAAAACTTATTTAAAAATGACCGGTTTTTAAATAGCCATACAAAATCTATAGACCTTTTCTACAAAGCAGTATTTTCTCTCTTTTTTTTGTAACTGTAAATTTTGGAAAAATGTACTGAAATTTAAATTAAATGAAAAATGGTAATTATTATACTAATTTATTCATTTTTATTTTTTTCTATCGAACAACTGTTTTGATCTGAAATAAATTGTTTTTAAATCATTCCCTGATGAAGCAGTTTAAACAAAAAAATAGTTTCAAAATAAAATTATGAAGCAACATTACTATTTAGATAGAACTAAAAATAAAAGAAATTTTGTAACCCATGCATGGTTAAGGAAACCTAAATTTCAACTAGCATGTTTTCTGTAGGTAGACGGTTAAGTGTAGAACGAGGAAAAACTAATTTCATGTATATGCTAAATGCTTACCATCATTTTGAACTTATCAAACATTTTTCGGGGAGGGACTTACTAAGACCCCTCCCCAAACCTTACCACTGTTTTCGTTCTGCACCCACAATCACCTTTCCCTCCTCAAATTAAGTGACAGTCCAACACATTTAAATATAAAACAAGAGCGCTGGATGCAATTACAATTATTTGATTTTGAAGTGACAAAATTATGATTTCTCCTTTACTTTGGTATAAGTATAAGTAGTTGGACTTGGCCACAAATGACATCTGAATAGCATTGGTCTATTGGGACCTGGGTGCGAATGGCAGCGCTGCGTGTCCGAAGGGCCACTTTGACTAAATGCTATTCGGATGTCATTTGTGGTAGCTGGTAGTTTATTTTAATTAAACTGAAGAAGTAAGGGTAAATGTGAAGAGATATCCCCGCATTTTTTCATCATGGCAGCCATCATTGTCCTACTATGTCCTAAATGTATCCCTAAACCTAACCTGAACCCGAAATGTATCCCTAAACCTAACCTGAACCCTAATTCACGGCAACTTAAATAAACCCGCAAATGACGTCATGAAACCATCTCTTCACAGTAGCCGAAGTAAGTTTACAAACATATAGTCCATTCAGACATTCAATTATCTTTCATTTGATACCTCATTTTGTCTTATAAACCCAACAATAATATTTTAAATTATTTTTAATCCCAACCTCTCACTGTTGGTACCCGGTGCGAATAGTCGCAGCCTTAAATTATAAATAATATAATATTTTTACCTCCATCTTTTACCACCTTGAGTTTGCCCATCCGTTACACGGTCGGATCTCAAGCCTTTTGGAGATCTATTACTGCTGGTGCTTTGTGGTTTAGAGCTGCTACTAAATGCATTTCTTTTACTAAACTCATTATCTTTTTTCGGTGAAATCGACCAACTAAAGTTCTCAAAAGCCTCAGTGTTCTCATCACCATGGAGATTGGTTTCTTGGTGGGGTGTTTTGTTTAAATCAGTTCCCTTATCAGCATTTTCCCTGTCTTTTCCATTCACCGCTATCGATAGAACGGAATAAGTCCCATCTAGAGAAATATTAGATAAGAAGCTGAGTGCTGCTAATCTTCGCCTTGAACGATACTTTTGATGTTTACGTGATGATGAGCTGGCCATTGAAAAAAAATATATATTTGAAAGGGTTCCGCCTATTACCGAAATACACAAAAAATTAAAAAGTGTCAAAGGCATCGGAATTTTGTGTCTTTAAGTTTAAAAAAAAAACGCTAAATGTACTCATGGCTATAAGAAGAAGGGATTGGAAGGGGCCAGACAAGAATGGGGCCAACGATAAAGACAGAAAATATTTTTGGCGGCTTTTGACGTCATATAGGCCTACTCCGGTCGCAATGATATTAACTAGTAAAAAGGTACGCAATGTTAGATGTTGGCGAAACCACTGACTACAATCAAAAGTGGGAAAATATTGAGCCTCCATGCTGCGAGATAATAGAGGGATTATTTTTTGGATACCCCGCGTTCATTCAAAATATGCAGTGAAAAATGCTGAGGTGGCCCATTGGAGAACTACCGATTTAGAAGTAGTGTTAAGTCACTGAAAAACAATAATTTAACCAAAAAAATTTTTAAGTATACAGAATATTTGGACAATTATCCCACGGCCACGGCAGAGTTTTCGCTAAGATTGACGTCACCCTTGCGGTAAAATCATAATGTCAACCCACCAAGACATCCCCATGGACCTGCTTCGATTCTGCTTTCTCTTGTGGCACCCTGCTCAGGTGACATTCTTCTCTGGTGGAAAATCCGCTGGTAGTAACCAATGTTCCCTCTAAGGTTTGTTTGTTCGTATGCAAAATCATACAGTTATGTGCAAAGTTTTACAGCATCAATTTTTGTGTGTGCAAAATTTTACAGCCCACAAACACAAACACTCATTTACATGGAAATTTACTGCGCGGTACTCAAAACTGATGAACGGCCGCGCGGCCACGCAGCCGCGCAGCTTAAAGGGAACATTGGTGGTATTTTTGGAACCCTTATTATGGCTTATGTTAGCTAAGCCTATTGTAAAACAATAAATGTAAAAGTATCCCAATAACCAGGTCATTTCTTTGCGTTAAACCGTGCTTTGCCTCCCTAGATGAGAATTGAACAATGGCACCTCAGACAAGTGCCTTTGACGTTAGTATTTACCCCGGTGATCTGAAATAAACTAATTAAAACAACTCATAGTTTATATGGGTTTTACAGGTCAACTTTCTGGTTTTTTTTTGTTGGTTTTTTTGTAGCTGTTCGGACCAGGTTATCAGAAGTGAGAGGTTGGGATTAAAAAAAATATTTAAAATCAGCGAGAACCCGGCATGCATAGCACTCAAAGAAAAAAGTGTTTGTGTTTTAATTACGTTTTTTAAGTAATTTTTAAATAGAAAATTTTATTTTTTTTGTTTTTTTTCCAATCTTGTGCGTACACAAATAAATTAGAAGGTTTTTCGACGCGTGAAGAGGCCACATACAGCATTCCACGTGAGGAGCATGGATTTTCAAAATTTAGTCCACACACTTGTAGCGATTGATCCAAGCAGCAGCTCTGTTTGAAATTATATTTTTATAGCTCACAAGATATTTTTTTTTTATAATTAAGCCCCCGGCCCCAAACACCTAATTGTAAAAGGGTTGTACGAATTCAGAAACATAATTATATTGTCACACAAACTGAAATGTGGCGTGTATTTTTATTGAACTCCATCCACCCATGCAATAGCTCTGTTTGAAATTATAGGTGTATAGCTCCTGTATATATATATCATTTTTGGTTTGTAAGATAACATTTGGTTTCAAAGGAAAGATAATTGAATGGACCATACGTTTGTAATCTTACTTCTTCGTTTAAATAAAAACAAACTTCCACAAATGACAGTAGAATAGGATTTAGCAGCAGGCTTTGTCCTGAACCGCTACAAGAACACCCCTAGTGCTGGCAGCATGCTGGAAACACTGGGTTGGTCACCATTTGAGAAACGACGACGATTATTCAGGCTCTCCATGATGTACAAGATAAATAATGGGCTGTTCGATAGCTCCAGCATTAATAGGAAAGTGTCCTTTTGCCCCCTGGACATCGACGAGGCCATGACAGGCAGTTCCGGCTCATAACAGCAAGAACACAGTACAGTAACTGCTCATTCCTGCCAAAGACAATCAGGGACTGGGACACGCTTCTAAAAGGAACAGTTGAGGCGACAACAATTGTCACATTTGCATCTATTGCCTCAGGCCTGCCAACCCCCAGTTCCTGTTACCCTTGCTGGGTGGCCCTTGCAACCAGTGAAATATCCTTGTCAATACCAGGCACAGAAACATCGCGAATCCCCTCTACATAAATAGGAGCCAGAGTGATCAATAAACTGATCATGGGCCCTTAAGATATAGAAGAAGAAATTTGGCACAGACACTCCTTGCCGATGACAATACATTCTGTCAAATTTACAGCCCCAGTTCCCAAAAAATCAGGTTTTTTTTTCAGTTTTTCATCTTTTTAAATGGGAAGTTAAAGGAAATATGTTCTCAGGAAATACAATTCTCAATAAATGCGCTAAATGAGATTCATTAAAAAAAATATCGCGAGTGCCTTGGGTACGTAATATTTTCTTTTGTTTTTCTGAAATAGTTGGTGAAATAAATCTGCGGTGTAAAATCAGGTGGGAAATTAGAAAATTAACATAAAATAAAATAATTAAAAAAATGCATTAAAAGGATTTACACGAACAACATCTTTTTGAAAGGTTTGTTTCGTTGCTGTCTGATTGCCGGGTTCCGCCACGGGCTGTAGCCCAGTCTTGCCTTATGGTAGAAATGGCCCCGACAATAATGGACAAACCTAAATGAATATTTAAGTGGCATGATCCTAAAAAGTAAATAATGGATTGGAGTTAAACATTGTAAGCGCAGAACTGTCCAAAATTTGTTTGTTTTTCAGTGCAGAGATAAACAACTGATTTTTTTTTTGTTGTTGTTGTTGTTGTTTTTTTAATTCTTATTTTTTTTTTAGTAAGTATATCACCATTATTGAAGTAACTGATGTTAAGTTCTTATGGTGTGTAGAATTTTCAAAGCATAACAGAAAAATAAATGATTAATAAGCATTATAAATGATTTTAAAAAAGTATTGTAAATAAAATTATTTTAATTGGTTCAGAATTTGCAGCCCCCAATGTGCCACCTGGGGCGCACGTACTCCTCCCCACCCCCCCCCCCCCCCCCCCCCCCCCCCCCCCCCTCCCCCCCCCCCCCCCAATGTGCCACCTGGGGCGCACGTACTCCTCCCACCCCCCCCCCGCCCAACCGACTTTTCTGGATCGGAAATAACTTCAGATAAACAATAAAATGTCTAAACTATATCTTTTGTTGTTCTTCCTGTTGGCTTAGGTGAATGTAATCTTTCAATTTTTCTGTTAAAAACAAATTATATATTGTTTTTAATAAAACTGTTTTTGATTGATTGATTTGATATTTATAACGCGCCGGTATCCATGCCATGTTAACATGCTCACTGCGCTCACTGCGCTCTGGAGCTCCGAAATCTATTTAAATAAAAAAGTTTTTTTTTTTTAAATTAAAGAAACATTTTGAGTTAACATGCGTCCATTTCCGGCACCATTCAGCATCGTGTTGAAAGTTTTACTGTATCACCTTACAATAACATTGTTTTGTAGTCAATGTTAACTTTGCTATCAAGCCGCTTATGTGCTAGCTACGAAAGAAGGTAGTTTGTAGAAAAATTCTATTGGTACATGATCATTAAGCTGTTGATCAAGAGTCGGCTTTTTAACTTTCGGTTTATTATATTAAATGGAATGAGTGTTACAATTAATAAATTTATTTTAAAAAAGGATATCATTTTAAACATGAAATTGAAGTCATGTGCAAAAAAAAATTCGCTACTTCATTAATGTGTTATTATGACATTTCTTTAGATAATAAAGCTTTTTTTAAAAAAAATTATGCCCTGATTTATTCAAGTTTTCATTTGACAGATTATTTTCTACACAAGTGAGCTGCAGAGCTACACAACGATTTACTCCTCGAGAGAATGGTTTGTTGTCGTCTAAGAGAAACCTTAACTGTCTTTCACAGTCTACTCTTCGCAATGCTTCATGACAGTTCAGGTAAAATCTTAGCGTTGTAGATTGGGTACGAGCCCTAGCGCTCTATTTCTATCCTCCGCATTGCAGTGTAATGCAATCTATACTCTATAGTATTTCAATCTATACTCAATAGTACAATCTATACTCAGTGGTACAATACATACTCTATATTAGTGAAATACATACTCTACAATAGTACAATCTATCCTCCATAGCACTTATTATCAAAATGTGTTGGCCATCACCAGCTTGTTGCAATAAAATTACCCTAGTGCACCGTCTATGCCTTAGTCAAAATATCATTAGTAGTGAGCCAAATTTACTTAGCGAACTAAAACATTTTATGATCGCACTACATTACTGTAGCTGAATGTAGGCATCTATTGCTGTATGTAGGCATCTATTGCTGTATGTAGGCATCTATTGCTGTATGTAGGCATCTATTGCTGTATGTAGGCATCTATTGCTGAATGTAGGCATCTATTGCTGTATGTAGGCATCTATTGCTGAATGTAGGCATCTATTGCTGAATTTAGGCATCTATTGCTGTATGTAGGCATCTATTGCTGAATGTAGGCATCTATTGCTGTATGTAGGCATCTATTGCTGAATGTAGGCATCTATTGCTGAATGTAGGCATATATTGCTGTATAAAGCCACAGATGTAATTATTATAAAGCCATATATTTAATTATTATAAAGGAACAGATGTAAGCATTATAAAGCCACAGATGTAATTATTATAGAGCAATTGATGTAATCATTCTATCGCCGTCTATGTAATCATGTCAACGTTTCGTTTCGTTTGTTTGAAGCTGAACGACTTGTGCTAGAAAATGGAGGAACGGGTTCAGAGATGGTCATACAGGAAGTGCTTTATATTGTGAGGGAATGCACAGTGTATGAATATTATTATTAGATAATGCACAGTGTATGAACGTTATTATCAGAGAATGCACAGTGTATGAATATAATTATTAGAGAATGCACAGTGTATGAATGTTATTATTAGAGAATGCACAGTGTATGTATGATATTT